GCCTAACCCCAACCCTAGAGTTGAGGGATTCATCAGAGGTGGGAATGCTAAAACAATAGTTGTTTGCTGGACAAACATCTGGAGAACTGGTTTATGGTGGAAGGAAGCTCTAAAAATATAGTCTGCAGCTTCAAGAAAGTATAGGAAAGGGTATAGTGTCTCTGCGTTAGTCAAAATGGGGGCTTTATAGGGTGAAAGCCAAATCTTACAATGACTCTTGACAAGGTGGAAGGGACTGAATGCCATTCTAAACTGTTTTTTGATTAAACCAACATTGCAACACCCTGCCCAGTCCCACTATTCATTGATACAGCATGTCTCTGCAGTTTTCCAAGCCCTAACCTTAAGCATATTTTGACCACTTGCAGCAGCAAGTTCCACCTAGCTGTGTAACGTGTGTAACGTGTGTAACATGTGTAACGTGTGTAACGTGTGTAATCTATAACAGTAGTTTTCTGTTAAGGTTAAGATGTTGGTTGTCCCCCTCTCCCCCCAAAAAGCAAATCAACATTCAAACCAGGGGGCAATGGGAAAAATGAGCCAATCTTGTTGCACTGACACATGTACACAGAAGTAGGTTCCACATGTGTAGTGGTATGCATTGTAGTAAACATCTAGGTAATTAAGTTGTTTTTTGTTTTGCAAATTAGCATGCAATTTCTGCACTTTATCACTAATGAGATAAACCTAGAGTTGATCATTGCAGGTTTGATCACTGACCAAATGGCACTCAGTCATTACTAAAGCCATAAGGTTGTGTTACTTTTCAAACTTAACTACAGGAAAGTTGTAATAAATACTGATAATATGAAGCTTACACTTTTGAACGGGAACAGCTGAATCCCACAAGCCACACTACTCTATTCTGAGATCATGAGAAGAGCATGTTTTCCATGTAAATGTTTACAGTTGCACTGTTAAATACTTTATCAGCTAAACGGTTAAACAAATCTCACCTTATGTCTTCAGAAACATGTGGTTGGAAATCATCTGGTAATTGTTGGCGGCACTTTGGACAGGATGTCCGTCCTGCATCAAGGCTGTTCTTAATACATGTTAAGCAATAGATGTGATTGCATGGCAGTCCCACTGTTTCCTGAGGCTCTCTCATGCACACCCCACACTCAAGGCCAAACCTTCAGGAAGATGCAACCAACAATCAAATTAGCTTAAGTGCAAATAAAGAAAAAGGCTGCGGGAAGTGGAGGTTCTGGGGGTACTGCAGCACCCCTGTTGTAAAGTTTAGTACACCCAACTTTAAGGTCTTTCCAATGGCTTTGCTAAAGAACATCCTTCAATATTTCATATAATATCATAATAAACTCTGCTAATAGTCAGACAGCCTTACCTGAAAAGCTGATTAGTTGCCTCCTGTTTGCAGGACTTCAGGACTTTAACTACAGCTTCAAAACCTTTTGTAGATTTTACATCCGAGTTTTCCTGCAGAACCTTAGAAGGACAAAATGATACACAATACTATAATGATGAACATTATGTTGTTACAAATTTTTTTGTTAGCAGAACATCATTTAAAACAAGATACAGTGGGATGCAAAAGTTTGGGCAACCTTGTTAATAG